GGAGAGCTATACCAAGAAACCAAGTCGCAGTGCCGGGATCGATGGAGTTTACAGACCGCAACAAAGAGAACCCCGTACGTCAATGGGCCGGAGAGACACTTCAACATTGACATGCGACGAACCAAACTTGAGCCGTCATTCGGTGAAGGTCATGGTTTTCGACAAGTCTTTGCAAACCTGCATTCCAAGGCCCAAGGCCCAAGACCCAAGACCCAAGACCCAAGACCCAAGACCCAAGACCCAAGACCCAAGACCCAAGACCTCTGACAAGGTCAACCATGTTGGCGCATTTATGATCTTGTCATCGGCTCACACTTGTCGACTTCATTAACCACTCCAGGATCGTCTCTCTCTTCCAATTGAAGCTGGGAGGGGGGTTGGAGGGGGCAACATTTTCTCTAGATCCAACATTAAGACATGGAACAGGCCAGACAGATTCAAGAGCTAAGCTGCGTTCTGGACGGCCGGGTCCAATTCATACATGGTATCTGCGCTAGAGAGGGAGACGTTGGAGGGGCGTGACTTTGACGGTATGCGAATATCTTCGCGAGTCCCTCTTCATCTAGCCAGTCGTAGAGAGCATTCCAAGATGTTGGGTCCAGTCGATATGAGGCTAGCGAAACTACTTAGTCGAACTAGCTCCGTCGCCTCCGGCAGACATAGGGCCTTGCTTGTACGACGATAGTCACTTCAAGGCCCCCCAGTCTCAGCCCTCTCGTGTACTTGGAATAAATGAGTAGCCTGTTTGACGAATTATGACACATGTAATAGCGAAGTTAGCCCTCGAGCACCGGGGGTCCGTCGAGCGGTACAATGCGTCGCCATATAGGAACTGGCCCGTTGCACGATGATGTGAGGCGCACTTGGTAGCTCATACGGTATATATGCAGGGTCGGGATTAGATACCACCTCACCCTCGAGACAACTCATCGTGGGTGCGAGGCCTACAGGAATACAGGTCGCCAACGGGCCGATCAGCGATCGGGGGCTACGAATGAAGCACGTAGTAAGGACTAACCTAAGGACCTAAAGACCGAGATGAGGAAATCTGACGATTGTGCAAAAACCCGTAATACCTACCTACATAGATACATTAACAGGTGGATGGGGAAACGGTACGGGTGTGTGGATACTGGTGGTTTGGACGTGGAGGTAATTTACAGGGCTTGACTGGATTCGTATGCAGTCGAGCAGGACTTGCGCGCTGATGATGATGGGGCATCCTCTCATAGGATGGAGGACGGAGCCGAAGTATGCCTTGACGGTACCTGAAAGGTCGACTGCGTCCTTGAGGGTGGCGGGATTCCCAATCGTGACATTTCTTCTCACTAGCCAACTCCCACGTCGTGACGGGCCACTAGATTTTGTGTACTAACAACGAGGTCATCGTAGATTTGTTCGGATTACGACCGCAACCGATATTTGGATAGATGCCAGTTCGTCGGAGATTCATGCTGTGTAAGTCGGAGGTAAATAGGAAAGCGGCCGCGTCCGTAGGGTCTGCGTAACGATTCTTTCCTTTGCTCTTTTTGTACTAAGCCCAAGGAAATCCTGCACGACATCCCGCAACCTGGTCTAGGCAACGCCCGTGGCAAATCTGCAGACAGCGTCCTGAGCCGTACTAGCACCTTCTTTGCTGATGTAATGAGGCTATAGCCTATGAGGGTCGGAGGATAGGGGATCGATTATAGGCACTTTTGATAGGAGCTAATGCTTAACGAAGGCCATGTGACGTTGCAGATGTTCATATTTGCCAGGAATATTATAGATGGACCATTGAAATCTCCCAGCCATCAAGAGATGAGTTAAGCCATACCCGTTGCCGTCATGTCTAGTCATAATCCGTCTACCAGGCTACCCTTAGGCCTATGCGTACCAATGCCACTCCCCAATAACGCCGAATGTTTTACGTGCGCCCCCGATGTTTTCGTGATAGGGCTACATTGTCTAACTGACTTCATGCTTAACCGAAAACCTTCAGGAAACCCCAAATTCCGATCCCACTAAGTACCGGAATTGTCAGGTTATCGTCCCAACCGAAAAGGTCAATCACTTCGCTTCCCGCCGCAGTGAAGCCCGACCACAAACTCAATAATCCTATAGCAATCGGACCACTCACGGTTCCCTGGGACTCGGAAAGGCCGAGTATATTCGAAACGAGTCCGGGAAGTCGTAGAATGCCCCTGAACATAAAGGGGTGATATTCGTCTCCTGGGAATGACCCAGTCCTCGGAGCAAGCCAGCCCCAAAACCAACCAGCCGTGGCCACCCCGACTAAAAATGCAGCGAACGATCCTGCAAGGGACTTTCCACGTCGAATCCTTGGGGTATATCTCCCATACAGGCGGCCAAAGGTACTAGCAGCGGTGTCGCACCAGCTAAGAAGCATGACGGACACCACCGCCACGTCCTTGGGGAAGAAGTAGAGAACGATCCAAGCGCCAAGTAGGTAGAAGACGACTCCGTTCCAGCCGGCATATTCGGATTCGCGCATGAGAGCACCGAGGCACTTGACGTAAAATCGATTTATAGACGCATATTTGTGACGTAGGTAATCCGTGGACGCAATAGGTATCAGAAGGCCCATTAAAAAGGGAGTTACTGAGGACGTCTGGGTGCCACTAACGTAGAGCCAGTACACCAGAAACCCAATAGAAACATGCAAAACCTTTCTTGGGACTTCGTGTTTATGAATGAAGGTTTTGAAGCGTCTATGTATCGGGATCAGGCCTAGAGGGCTCGGACTGCGACTAAATGTACGCCAGTCCCACCCGGATATTGTAGGTGTCGGTGGCGCTAGGTGACCATTCGAAGTCTCGGGCGCGACATCTGCATCCTTGTTCTCGACCTCGTTCTGCGTCGATTTAGAGGTGCGACCGGACTTAGCAGCAGTTAGTCCGCTGACTTTCCGAGTCTTTATAGGGCTTCGAGATCTAGTCCGGGCCCTCCGAAGCTCCGGATCCGAATCTTCGTCGACGCTCTCACGCAGGGTTTGTTGAGACGAGACATTGCCTGTCTGTCGGCGCCTCGCAGCGGATCGCGTAACGGGACCGAGGTATGAGTCTTCTGAAGCTTCTTGCGTCTCGGAAGGCGTAGGACTGGGCGATATGACTCGAGGCGGCGCAGGGATGATAGGCTTCCCACGAACAGACATGTTATAGGGAAAGAGCGGAAGAGGCGAGGCGAGGACGGTGCCGGTAAGTATTCGGCGCAAGTCGTAGTCGTAATATCGCAAGGGCCAAAAGGCAGAGTGGAGGTGTCTGTCCTTCCGGGATTCACGAGTAGGTAACTGTCTGGAAACAAAAGAAGCGAGAAGAGCTATCGAATCCAGGTTGAATGTTTTTGGTGATGCAGCAGAGATGTGCTCTGCCGCATTGTGATGCTTCTCGATGGTTCGGTAGGGATCGTGACTCTAGCCTAGCAAGGACTCGGACTTGGGCGGACGTAGCACACATGAATGCCGTACGTTCTAAAACCGGTCAGGTGTGGCTGTGGTGGGCGCTGGTGGCTCTGTATGCGCCTGTGAGGAATGCTAGGGATGGGAAATGATAGGCTGGGGGTCGCGTGAGAAAGATGGTGAACGAATTTTTTTTTTTTTTTTTTCCATTTTTCCAGCGGCCGACAGAAGAAGCCCGGGAAGCCGTCATCATTGGGTGCCCACCTGGCTTGAGATACGCTACAACATGGCCCACCCCCACGTGGCCTGTGCTTTCTAGGAAATATAGCATGTGACGTCACCTTCGACTTCAGATCAACATCACTTCACTGTTATTCGTATGTATTTGGTACATGTATTTCGACTTTTCTATTTAATCCGTTTATTATATACTACCTGATAAGACAACGTCTTGCACTGGCTGAACTTGTTGCCACTTACTTTGTTAGTTCCATCTCATATTGCACATCGCTGCAAGATATGCAAGAAATCTACCAAGGCCATGGATCTAAATTCAATCTATGATTTGCATATGCAAGAGATTTGTGATTTCATTTAAATCTTGTAAGTCCTCTTCGAGGATCGATTCATGTCAAATCAGTCTTCAGGGCAATATTTATCTCTAGCACCACCAGTTCCGTAATGCTCAGATGATTTAACCGTACACAAGGCTATCGGCATTCGCATATTTATATTCTTACAACATTGACCTCATGCACGTCACCGGGCAGCTTGCCTCTCTCTCATGTGGCCTAAGATGCATACGGTGTAATCAATAGATCGTAGCCTTTCAAGTGATGGAGTTTTTTCTCATACAACGCAGAAGATAACAATACTATTTCAGAGCCGAGCTAAAACTAAAAGACCGCCGAAAGGTAAGAGAAAGACGGTAGTACCACAAGTTAAGACAGTGCTAAGCATGTAATATTACTTGAAAAATGATTAATGCGATAACCTCCTCTCTTTCTTTGTACCAGAAATAATCTTTTGCCTATGGTAGTGTTTTTCAGCTATATTTCCATCGTAACATTATAGCCACTCTCGTTTGTTCTTAATAGAAGAAAATGACTAAAAAGAAGAACTTGTATTTATCGGATATGAGGTTGAGATTTTTATATACTGCTTGAGCTTACACCGGTGTCGGAAACATCTATACCATCAGATTTGATCTTGGCTATGGTCAGTCAAACCACATATCCAGGAACACCTAAGCTGTGTTATCCATAAGGGGCTACTTAATTGGCCCACCCTCAAGTAATTCGCAGTACTATTGATATGACCCTCATTCTGGTTGGCCCATGGTGAATCAAGCAAGCTTTAGCGTCGTGTACTGAGATGGACAATCATGTAGAAGAAAAGAAGTATGGCAGGAAAACGTAGGGAAAAAAGGATTACCGAGAGCCAAACTCGAATAGATGCCTCCGGCCAAGAAGTGCATCCACAGGGGAGAATAGCAAAGGAAGCCCGAAAAGTAAAGAGGAAGTGAAATGGGTGAGAAATCCAACAGCAATATTTACGGTGTAGAAAGGAAAAAGAAGAAAAAAATGATTGAGATATGAATAATTGCCGAGGGCCAGGTTCGAACTGGCGATCTCCGTTGAGCAGGCGGCTGGAATCCACTAAATCCCCCTCGCTGTGCACGGCATCCACGTTCTTCCATGGTGCCCAGCATCCGCGGTTTGGGGGATCTAGTGCAGACCGCCAGACCTGCTGTCCCGGCGTCTTAACCACTAGACCACCCCAGCTTAAGCTGTTATTGAGAACTGGTACTGCACCTTTGCCTTATAACCCTTTCGTTGGTGGCGGGTGACACGGGACTTGGTTATTCCAAGGGGCAGCCAGGCAACCGGGGCAACGTCGGGGCGACAATGAGGGGCGGCGATGAGGGGCGACGACGAGCTTCTGGCATCCGTTTTCAGGCGATACTGTAAAAATGCCAGTTGGTCTGTTCAACTACTTTCTCATATCGCAGAGGGTACTATATTTGCTGGTTATTACGAACACGCCAACCAACGGTCACCGGTGCAGGGAATAGACTCTCATATTTGATTCCTAGAGTTTAATGTAAATAGAAATGAATGTCATCAAGAAAAGGACAGTGGCTACCCTATTACATCTCGAATTCCCTTACCTCATGCCCAATGTGAGCTGCCATTCCTATATATCTATCATGGCAGGTCATTTTCTAATCGTGGACTAAGTTCCAGTAGCAGGAATTTGTCAGGAGGTATGCATATGAATTATGGCCTCCTCCAAGTAGTAATTTGCACCTAGCTTGCAAGTATCTAGTCTATCGTTGCATGTTAAGCTATTCTGATATATTTACAACCATCAGCCATGAGAACAACTTGCACGACCACGGTCCGCTTCCGACTGCCACGGGGCAAACTCGACAATGCAACAATCGTCTAAATTCCTGCCACTCGAGGAGACTCCGCGCCCTTGCCTCGACGCACTCACTGGCCACTTGAGATGCTAAGGCAAAGAGAGCATTTATCTAACGGTAATACTATTTCTCCGGGTTCTGTAAGCTGGAAATAAACCCATGACGAATACCGACCTGGATCCCGTGATAGGAGATATTACCAGGTTGCGTGGCCTTGACTAATAAAACGCCGATAGCATGTGTACCTAGAGATGTTTTAATATACAAGAGGTGACACGAATATCTCGATATAGCCGTCAGTTATTTGGGTCGGATCTCGCCTTTTCATCGGCTGCCCGATTACATCGGACGGGATTAGGCCGGTCGAACCCGAAAAGTGGATGAGACAGGAATGACGAGGTCCGTGTCGGGTGTTAGCTCCACCGTCCACAGCGCGAGGGGGGAAATATATAATATAATCTAGATCATTACTCCTCTTGCGAGACTATAGACTAATTTACTCCCTGGCAATAATAAATTGATATCATAATGCCTCCTCCATCATTTGCGATCACGCTAGAAGAACACGCCGCATTCCCGGCTCTGGGAAGCGAGCACCCGTTCTACGATGGACTCTGGCATGTGTTCCCAGAGGCTAGACGGGGCCTAGAAGACCATTCAACTGGCCGCATAGCTAGCATGGACGAGGGCCGGATCTCGTACCAGATCATGTCCCACCTACCGGGCATAGGCAACGACAAGCCAGAAGGGTGTCGGAAAGCGAACGACGAGATGGCCGAAGCTATCAAGAAGAACGCTAGTCGTCTTGGTGGGTTTGCCTGTCTCCCCATGGCGCATCCGGACAAGGCGGCCGAAGAGCTAGAACGCGTAGTTAAGGAATTGGGGTTTCTGGGCGCTATGATTGATAGCCACCTTGGGGACATGACACACTACGACAACGACCGGTTTGTAAGATTGCCACTTTTCGGTATTAACAGGGACGATATATAAGAGTCATCACTCCTAATACATGTCTCGTGTCTAAGACATCCTATCTGAAGAAGTAATTACTGACTCCCTTTGCAGTGGCCCGTATTCGAGATGGCCGAGCGTCTTGACGTGCCCCTGTACATCCACCCGGGGCCGCCGCCGGGACCCTATATAAAACAGAGGTTCAGCGGGAACTACTCGGACGTCTTGATGTCGGGGCTATCGACGGCCGTCTGGGGCTGGCACGAAGACGTCGGGCTGCACATCCTCAAGCTGTACTCGGCGGGCGTCTTCGAGCGCTTCCCGAAGTTGAAGGTTATTATTGGGCACATGGGCGAGATGCTCCCGATGATGATTGACAGGGTGGAGCAGTTCCTACACCTCTTTCAAAAGAACGGCTCCAGCTTTGCCGAGGTCTGGGATCGCAACATATGGGTGACGTCGAGTGGAATGTTTAGCGTCAGGGTCCTTGAGATGCTCTTGAAGGTGACGAAGAAGGATCACGTGCTGTATAGCATTGATACCCCCTTTAACAAGAGCCTCGAAGGCCGGACTTATATACAGGAGCTGGCGGAGAACAGCTCGCTGTCGAAGGAAGATCTAGAAGACTTTGCATTTGGGAACGCGAAGAAGTTGTTCAAACTCGAATTCATATTGAAAAAGTTCTAATTTAGTCCATGGGTTGGGAATTGCTAAGCATCAAGGACAAAGAGCTGCATTGGGTTTCAAGGGGAGGGGGGGTGAAAAGCACAGGTAGCCAGATTAAGTTTCCAGCTGCTTCGAATTAACCACAAGGTTAGGCAGTTACCTGGATTGATTGTGTGGCGGGTTAGACTATCAAAATTCACCCGATGCAATCTGATCGTTGTACCTAAGATACCTACTCGTTGATGATTATAGGAGAAATAGGGATAGGGGGAGGACGAGAGGGGGGTTTGCTTTTAATGGAGGGCTGACTCTGGCGAGCTTAGATAAGATAAGTGAAGTGATAAGATAACGAATTTTCGAAAAAGATCCCAAAATAGGTTCGTAGATGCTTCACTCAATTTCTTATAGCATATTGCATGCGCCAACGAATTGAACCATGGCACCCGAAACGAAAACCCCCAAGAAAGATCCCCGTGCATGGGATGCTTTGACGCCGCCTCTAGCAGAATGGATACTCGACGCCGTCTCGAGTATGGGTTTTGCCCGAGCCACCCCCGTCCAGGCCAGCGTATGGCCGTTATTTGGCGGGGGGAATAAGGATGTAGTTGTAGAAGTATGCGATGACTATTAATTCTCGAAGCCTCTCGTGGTCGTATCCATACTTACAGTCAATAGGCAGTAACAGGAAGCGGAAAAACTCTTTCCTTCCTTATACCCCTCGTCCATAGAATCCTGCGACAAGAGGAACCTACGAAGCGGCACCACGTAGCCGCTATCGTCGTCGCGCCCACGAAAGAACTTGCCGGCCAGATACACGGCGCTCTCACATCGCTCGTCGCTTTCCATCCCGAGTCCGCCGAACTTGTCCCTTACCTCACGGGCGAGGAAAAACGACCAGAAACAAGCTCGCCCGTAATCGTGCCGCAGCTCCTCTCCGGAGGCAGCACCATCACAACAGCTCAAGACCTGAGCTTCTTCTTACGCGCATCGCCGAACGTTCTCATAGCTACGCCCGGTCGGCTCGTCGAGCTTCTTTCGTCCCCGCACGTCCATTGCCCGCAGTCTTCCTTCGAGGCTCTCGTACTAGACGAGGCCGACAGGCTGCTCGATCTAGGGTTCAAGGCCGACTTACAGAAGATTCTTTCGAGGCTGCCCAAGCAGAGGAGGACAGGACTCTTCAGCGCCAGCGTCAGCGAGGCAGTGGGCGAGATCATCAGAGTGGGGCTACGAAATCCTGTCAAGGTCGCTGTCAAGGTCAAGAGTTTAAAGACGGGGGGAATCATAGAAGAGAGGAGAACACCGGCGAGTTTGCAGATGACCTATCTAATGACGCCGGCTAGCCACAAGCTGCCGAGTCTCACCCAGCTGCTGGAAAAGCTAGACCCAAGACCGCAGAAGAGCATCGTGTTCCTTTCCACGTGCGCCGCCGTCGACTACTTCGCCCACATCCTCCCTACTCTCCTCCCGGAAGGCTTTGATCTGGTGTCGCTACACGGGAAATACGACGCCAAGGTCCGAGAAAAGAACTTTGCCAAGTTCCTCAACTCGGCGCAACCCTCCGTTCTCCTCACTACCGACGTGGCGGCGAGAGGTCTAGATTTCCCGCAAGTTGACCTCGTGGTCCAGATCGATCCTCCGTCGGATCCCAAATCATTTTTGCACCGATGTGGTCGTGCGGGCCGTGCTGGGCGAAGGGGCCTTAGCGTCATCTTCCTACAACCCACAGAGGAAGACTACATCCCGTTCCTCGACATTCGAAAGACGCCCATCACGCCCCTAACACACCCAGAGATCGCGGTCACCGGCGAGGAAGTGAGCAAGACCACGGAGAAGATCCGCGACGTGGTAAAGAAAGACCGCGCGCTACACGACAAGGCACAAAAGGCCTTCGTCAGCTGGGTCCGCAGCTACAGTAAGCACACGGCCAGCTCCATCTTCCGGATCGCAGACCTAGACTGGACGGACCTGGGCGCGGGCTGGGGCCTCCTACGGCTCCCCAAGATGCCCGAGCTGAAACGGTTTACCGGCGACAAGTTCTTGGGCGTGGAGATGGACTGGGACGCGTACGCGTACGCGAAGAAGGACCGCGAGAAGCAGCGACTGGCCGCGCTCGCCGCGTATAAGGAAGGAGGGAACGGATCCGCGACGGCGACGGCCGAAGAGCACAAGGCGAAGCGTAAGCGCAACGCCGAGGCGTGGAGCGGCAAGCACGAGATGGAGGAGGTGAGGGCGCAGCGCCGCGACAAGAAGAAACGGAAGCGCGAGGCGGAGCGGAGGCACGGGCTTTCAGACCAGGAGGTGGCCAAGGAGATGGATCTTGAGAGGTTGCTGCAGGAGGTTAGGAGGAAGAACCAGGAGAAGTATGCTGCTGCTGCTGCTGCTGCTGCTGCTGTTGTTGAGAAGGGGAAGGATGGGGCAGGGGAGGATGAGTTCGAGGGTTTTGATTAGGGGGCAAGGGGGAAAGGGGATGAGGGAGGCGGAGTTGATACCCATCTATACATATGATATTCTGAGATAAGTGGCGGTCAGTGTCTGATTTCTACCATTGGAATGATACCGTCCCTATATTGCGACGGAACGCCTACGTGAGTTCCAAGTCCCCGAATAAGTCCTAAATCCATCACACTTGCTGGCATTCAGCCGTGACAAGAGGTATAGTTGAGTGGCAGAATTTGCATCATAAATGTGTCTTTTCCACGAAGAAAAAAATTAAGAAAGGCATCGCATTTCATATTACACTAC